AGTCACATGCATTCACATGCCTATGATATGCGGGGAGGATGGGGTTCCATAACAGTATGTCTCAACAAGGTGGCGACTCACACACTCACGTGCATTTCTGCCCTTTAGTCACATGCATTCACATGCCTATGATATTCGGGGGAGGGGTTCACAGTATGTCTCTGGCACTTCTCTGGCCATGCTTGCTCCGATACACTTGCTCCAATACACATTCTCGGTGCTTGAGGTCTACGCCATTGCTTTGACACCGCCGATGCCTAGGACTGCGCCATTGCTTCGACATCGGATGCAAGAACGATGCCTAGGACTTCGCCATTGCTTGGACATCGCCTGAAGATGTGATGCCTAGGACTCCACCATTGCTTCGACATCACGAGGAGCTGTGGTGCCTAGGACTCCGCCATTGCTTCGACACCACGAGGAGACAAGACACATGGCGGTACTTTTGACTCTTCCCTGGAGTACGTGTTTTAGTCGGCTGGGTATTGTAACGTGCAACAAGTCTGCTCTAATACCACTCTGTCGCGGAGATAGGTTTTTGCTATGCCTATCCGCGTGGCACTTAGTCACCTTTGGGAGTTAGGACGAGCTAAGTAAGCCTTAAAGTTATGTTGGAGCGAATATGAGGGCTAAATAGAGAAGAGAACACAAGAGAGCTTATAAGAGCTTTGTTGTAGAACTCTTATTACTCAAATGCTTGGTTGAGCTTGGATGATTTACAAGTGAAGTGAGGGGTGGTATTTATAGCCACTTCCACCTCCTCAATGGATGGCTAAGATTTTGCCTACAAATATCAACGGTCTAGATTACAAAGAGAGTTCTAGAATTATGTAGATACTACACAAAATATCTCCTATGTGGAGTAGTGTAGAGAATTCTAGAAAGCGGGCTTGGATCCGCAAGCTTTGGGCTAGAGACTTCCCAAGCCTTGGCACATTGCGGTAGCCCAATTTGCACCCTTCTAAGCCTTGCTTATAAATTGTGGAGGCTGCCTTTGCATTTATGCCTGCTTGTTGAGCGGGGCGTGACACCCTCCCCCACTCAATCTCGCGACGTCCTCGTCGCGCCATGAGCCTCGTGCTCTTTTATTCTTATCTTTGAACTGCCGAAGAGTATCTTCATGCTCCCAGCTAGCTTCAGACTCGGGCAAGTTCTTTCCGCGTCGCCGTACCACTCGTGAGTTGAGGATGCTGTCAACCTCCTTGTCAGATTTGGTAACAGCAGTTGGCGCTCTAGTGGACTCGCCCCTACTTGGATCCTTATCATTGGCATGATAAGGTTTTACATTGCTAACATGGAAGATATTACGAATCTTCCACTCAGGAGGCAGTTGGACTAGATACGCAGCTTTTCCCACTCGCTTAATGATGGGAAATGGTCCTTCATATTTTCTCACCAGCCCTTTATGTACCTTTTGTAAGGACTTGAACTGGTTAGGGCAGATTTTGACGAGTACCTTGTCTCTTTTGGCGTACTTCTTTGATCGCCTCTTGGTGTCGGCCCATTTCTTTATAAATCGAGCAACCTTATCAAGACAAGCAAGAGTCTCGTCAACTTCTTCATGCCACTTCCTCACAAACTTGTGAGGTTTACGGATGTGATCCGATTGGTTGCTTTGTGAGGCGCTAGCACTATTGTTGGCTAATTTCGCCTTGTGACTTGATACGTTAGTGGCAACATTGGCCTTCCTCGGTTCTCCCAACTTTGGAGGTGACGTTCGATGGGAGGATATGGCTGGCATCTTAGCACTAGGCTCCAGCTCAATCTGATGATCGACTTCCTTTTTAGAAGGAAGCGTTTTTGGCGACTGTGGAGGCATGATGTCTTTGGACTTATCCAGCATCGTTTGGGAAGTTTCCGACAAGGGTTGTTGCTTATGATTTATCACTTCCTCGTCCTCGGAAGTGCGAAGGGATATGGCACCCAAATATCGTAGGGAACCCATGTGAGCTTGGGGTTCCTTTGTCGCCTGTTTCTCCTCGGCGACCATGGCATTCATTGCCTTTTTATAATTGGCGCGCATTGCATATATTGCATTTCTGTTGGGGCAATCTTTTGTCCAATGCGGCCCTCCACAGAGGAAGCAAGGTTATTTTATCACTTATCCTCCGTCCCTCGGAAGTGCGAGAGGGGGGCTATGGCAACCTCAGTTCAGAACTAATATCGATTAGGGGAACCGATGGGAGGGACGGGGTTCCCCTCTCTGGTCGCCTGCGTGGTTCCCTCGGGCGGACAGCGTGGCATTCATTGCGCACTTTTTTGGATTCAAATGTGGGGCGGACGCATTGCCATAATATTGCATTTCTGTTGGGAGTATGCAAATCTTTTGTCCAACTGCGGCCCTCCACACGAGAAAGCAAGGGTTTAAGGAGGTTTGAAAAATTTAGGCTTCCCTAACGCCTTATCCAAGTCTTCCCTCGGGAGATTTGGACGAATCCATCTTCCCTGTGGATGATGGTGCTTTCTCGCTGATCTTGGTCCTAGTCTTCCACGTCTTGTTAGGGATAGGCTTATGTGGTTCCTTGGGCTGGAGGTGGAAGTAGTTCGTAAGGGGAGATTTCTAAACACGGCATTAGGCAATCGGTAAAGTGGTATTGTAGCGCATACGCGCGTCTAGCCTCCACTTAATATCGCCTGCGCAGCGCAGATGCTCCTTGAGCTCCATCCTCTGGAAGTAAAGAAGTAGAGGGCTCTTTACGATCGGGGAACAAATCGATGTAGCAATCGTCCACATGAGGTGGTGACTCCTTAACGTAAATACGGATTAGAGGCGACCCATTTTGATCTGGTAGAGTGACAGTAGTTTGCCCCTTGCTTCGGTATTTCGGCCTATTGTGAAGGACTCAAACAAAAAATGCTAAATGCGCAATTCTAAATCTTGATGGACTCCCATGGTAAATGGTTTGATAATCTATTATACCCAGTTGAATTAGGTAACGCTCAGAGAGTCGGGTGTTGGATTAGTGCAAGTGCCAGGTATTCCCCATTATAACAGAGGGCAATCTTTTGTCCAATGCGGCCCTCCACAGAGGAAGCAAGGTTTAGGAGGTTTGAAATTAGGCTTCCTAAACTGCTTATCATGTCTTCCCTCGGGAGATTTGGACGAATCATCTTCCCTGTGATGATGGTCCTTCTCCTGATCTTGTCTCTCTTCCCGACTCTTGTTAGGGATAGGCTTATTGTTCTTGGCTTGAGTGGAGTAGTTCGTTAGGGATTCAACCACGGCAATAGCATCGTCAAGTGTTTGTACGCTACGCCGCTCTAGCTCCACTTTCGCCCACTCTCTTAGCCCATCCTTGAAGAAGAAGAGAGCATCTTTGTCGGACAAATCGTCAATCTCCAACATGAGGGTGGTGAACTCCTTAATGTAATCGGAGAGGCTACCATTTTGTTGTAGATGACGTAGTTTGCCCCTTGCTTCGGTATCCACATTGTGAGGCACAAAATGCTTCCGCAATTCTAACTTGAATTGCTCCCATGTATGGATAGTGCAAGTGCCTTTTTCGCGCTCCGCATGCTTCCTTCGCCACCATAACTGAGCAGCATCCCGAAGGAATGTGGGGGCATTGCCAATCTTGGGGGCATCACTGAAAGGACATTTTGCAACTGCCTCTGCTGAAAGGACATTTTTTGCTATAAAAATTGTGAAGCATCATTTACGTAATAGAATTGGAGATCAATGGATGACTGGTTTCATTACATATATTTAGAAAGTTATTTTTGACAAGATTAATAATGACACTATTATATAACGTTATCAACGTACAGAGAATAACTGTAATTTTATTTTCTTTATATATTTTCATTATTTTTAATGATATTATTAATATTTCATGCTAACTAATTACTTTATTGGAGTTTTTTTTATGTTACAAGTCCTTTTATTTTTACGGAAAATAATAAAAGTTTGCCCCCTTAGTTTCAAATCCTGGTTCCACTGTTGACTGTAAGCAAACTAAAAATTGCTTCCAAAGTTATATAAAATTGTGAATTGAAGCCTAATTCAATAAACTGAATAGAAAAATGCCCCTTTAGTTTCAAATCCTGGTTCCACCATCACTGACAACTGCCATTTCTTGCAAACTACAACTCTCCATAGAAAAATGCAGAATATTCATTCCTTTTTCATCAACAATTTCACAACAACCATGGCAGTGGGATACATTTTCTTGCTTCAAGGTGCTTCCTACTAGTCGTGATCTGACATTAGCTAAAAATAATTTCCTTATCCAACTACGCGCAACTACTCTAAAATGGTGAAAATACCATAGAAATGGCAATTTGTACCAAAAACTCATCAACTGAGGCATTTAACAAATTATCTATGATGAAAACTCTATTACTCAAAAATAGTATCTGCCGTATAATGTATGCAACCGAAAAGGAGACATATGTACTAACTTGATCAAAGATAGTTTTGTCAAGGGTCGATCCAAACCATCCATTGGCACAAATCTTAAGAACACCTAGAAACAAACACACACCACAAACCACAAAGAACATCAATTAGCGAACCTCAGATCCATGCTAAATGGGCTCAGAGTGGAGCCTCACCAAAGAATTGAAGTGCACAGAGATCTGTGAAATGTGAAAAACTGAGGGATTTGGATGAGAAAGTTGTGGTTGACTCAAAGAACCCGACCCGACTCGATATGCTTTGTTCTCCTTCTTCACCATTAAATCTGGACCCTCAATCAATGACATCGGCCACCAGGATCTCATAGACAATGTCCGATTTTATTTATTTATTTTTGAGTTTGTACAATTTAAAAAATGGAGACGAAAGAGACGAAGGAGAAGAAAGGTGATACTGGCTTTAAATTTTGCCTTGTCATAAGGATGTATTAGTCTTTCACCAGGCATTAAACGTCAAAAATACTAGAATTAGATGGAAGGATCAGTTAGACGGAACCAAACCTTATTGAACTAAACACCTAATATAAAAAAGATACAAGGACTATTGAAAAATTTTTTTTGTAACATGAAATAAATATTTTCCCTAGAAAAATTTAAGGGCGAAAAGAAAATGCACGTTCAGCTCAAGAAGTTGAAACAATAAAAGCAAGGAAGAAAACCCGCGCCTCACTGAGCCGGTGCTGTTGCAATTGCTTGTTTTTCAATTTTTTTTAACTTTTTAATCCTTCTTCTTCTTCTTCTTCCTTGCCTGTAAGTACTAACTGTAAACACTTGAATGGATTCAATAGTGTTCCCTCTAAAAGTAAACTCTTTTCTCCTATTTTCCTCTCCTATGCGCCATCGTTTCAGTTTCAAAGCCTCTCAAGTTGCCGCTGTTAGAAAACAATCTCACAAAATTCGCTGCGAATTCGAACCCAAACTCAATAATGGCTCTCTCTTTCCTGATTCCGACTCTCGTTTCCTCGACCGGGTACTTACGAACTTCTGTTTCCGTTTGTTGTGAAAATATGGCTTTGTCTGCCCTCCATAGCCAGACTATTTCTGTTTTGACATTTTTGGTACAAGCTATTGAATTTTGATTCTCATTTTCTTTCAGTTTGTGGGTTTTGTTGCTCTGTTACCACTTCATATACAATTGTAAATTTTAGATAATTTATGTTTCTTGGTTGATGTTAGAGTTGCATTGTAACATTTGTATATTAATGGAATAGAAGTTGGAGGAATTATCTTGAAACCTTACTACCAATTATTTATATGTATTGAAATGACGAGATTAAGTAATTTGTGATTCTTAGATTTTCGTAAGGTGACCTAAGGAATATTGAGTGGCAGATGTTGTCATAATGCCTAAGGAATTCTATTACGAAGCATGGCTTTTTTATCCTTTTCTTTCTTCTTTTATGTCTATTAAATAAAATGAGCTTTTATTAGTGTTCCAACACTAATCTGGTAATGGAGCAAAAAGATCCTAACTTTTGGGACTGAATATTATCATGGAACATGTGGCAGAGTAGCACAACTTGAAGAGAAGGGTATAAAGATATAGCTGGTCTTGGGGTTTTGATTGTGGTGATATAAAATATGATGGAGTAGATTTGTATCTACCTTGTGTGCTGGAACACAATGTTAGTGTAACTAATCTAGAGAACGAAGATTAAAGGTTTATGCCAGTATTTTTTAATATTAGTTCATTATTAAGGTCAAGCTATGTGGAAGTTGTGTGGACTTTGTATCAACATTCTCAATTTTATATGTGATGCTAAGTATATTATGTGATTCTAAGTAACATCTACTATCAGCCAAGTCAACAATTGATATCTGAAATTATTACTCATAAGCATCGCCTGTTTTTCTTCCTTTTCTCCCAGCAAAAAGCATTGGAAGCAGCAATGAATGACATAAATAACTCATTTGGAAAAGGAAGTGTTACAAGATTGGGAAGTGCTGGTGGAGCACTGGTGTAAGTACTCTTCTTGTTTCTTAATCTCCCTATTCTTTTTCTTTATTGTTGAGCCCTTTGGTTGCTATCCTTGACATTTGGAGTCTCCGGGGTCTGGAAGTGTGAAATTGAAATGGAACATGCACATATATTCTTATTTTAGCCAAGTGGATGGACCTATTGACTGTCACATCCTTACTACAGAGACTTGGAGTTAGACCTCAATTTTGAGCTTATTTCTTGCAGTGAGACTTTTCCCAGTGGCTGTTTGACACTAGATTTTGCTTTAGGTGGTGGCCTTCCGAAAGGAAGAATTGTTGAGGTATCAATCTTTACATGTCCGTATCTATCTTATTGTAGTTTTAGGAGGTTTCATTTGCATCTCATGACTCAAGACATTGGTTTTGCTGGGAAAGTAAATATGTTGCGACTCATTCAATTGCTTCATAATTGATATACTACCTTGTCTGGCTGTTGAAAATGGTGATTGAGTGAGCAAAATAGCAGAATTATGCATGTTATAATTTTGTAAGACCTAAAGCACAACTGAATGAGCTTTTATTTAAGTATTATAGACTGTTTACCAACACTAAGATGTTTAGTTGGCACTTTTAGGAATTACAATTGCTAAATTAACTTCAGAAAGAATGCTGAATACAAATTAAGTTGGGATAGACACAAACAAGAGGAAAGAGATTGTTTCTTGGATGAAAGTAAAACAATAAATTTGATTGTATTAAGAACTGGTAGAGCAGAGATTCAATCACGTATATTCATATTTATTAATTTTTATATATTAATTTTTTCTTATCTCTATATGTTTATTAATTTTTTTATATTAGTTTTCTTATCTCTATATGTTTATTAATTTTTATAGTAATCATAAAGGAACCAGGTTCTGTAAAATGAATCTCAATGGGCTGCAATTCATTGATTTCTTCAGAACATACATAGAGATCTAGTTACAACCATGTTGTACTTCTCTAAGACCATCTCATCTTTGTCTCAAACCTAATCCATGTCTAGACAACTTTAATTCTCAAACTAAACATACATTCTAGGCTTCTACCTAGTCTCACTAACAGTCTTGCAAACACAAATAATTTGAATGCAAGTTTTCCCTCCAAAAATATCAAATAACTAGATTACTCTGACAACAATAGTGTCACGTGCTAATAGATTTCAACACTTCTTGGCACTGTTGCTGGAAATTCTTTATTTTTGCTGTTTGCCTTTATTTGGAGCACCATCTCTCCAAGTCTCCTAAAGTAATTGCAATTCTTGGAGCAAATGTTTCTTCAAAAAATAACTTTACATCTCAAAGTACTTTGTCTTCAATTTTTCCTGACTTTTTTCTTGGAGCATCGCATTCTCCATATCTTCCAAATGATAATTTTTTCCCCTTTCTTGGACACTCGTCTCCAAGCTTCAGTTACTAATTTTCTAGATCCAAAAAAAAAAAAAAAAAAAAAAAAAATTTATTTTTGCTGGTTTGCCAATTTATTTGGGGAGTCACCAATATATCTCCAAGTCTCCTAAAGTAAGTTGTCCAATTTTGAGCAAGATGTTTCTTCTCAAAAAAATGAACTTTGACATCTCAATAAGTAACTTATTGCTCCAATTTTTCCTCGGACTTGTTGTGGGTGGCGTGAGGCTAAGCTACGCATATCTCCCATATCGTTTCCAAATGAATAATTTTTATCTCCCTTTCATCTGGACCAACTCAGTCTCCATAGCTTTCACAGTTACTAATTTCCTAAGAATCCAAAAAAAAAAAAAAAAAAAAAAAAAAAAAAAAAAAAAAATCTAAAAGCCTCATCTTGGATAGTGAGTCTCCTCATCTTGATATTCTCCTCTCATCTTGGGTAGTGACTCTCCTCTCATCTTGAATAGTGATTCTCCTCCTTAAGCATATCCAGGGCAGGCTTTAGTGGTTCTAACATCTGCTATCCTTGACAAAAAATGGTTAGGTAAGATATTTGTGTCCAAGTATTTTTTTTTTTTTTTCCAAATGGTTAGGGTTTAGGCTGTTACTTCATTAGGTAAAACAAGCTAACATTGTTGCTAGAAATATGAATTGAAGTCAGAGAATCCTTGACGTAGAGAAAGAATTTAGGGGATTAATTCTCAACAATTAGGCTAGAATAGGGTGATTTTGGTGGGAAACCTTCTGAGATTTGCTGCAACATGCACTTTGGTCTGTGCTGTGTCAAATTAGTAATTTTAACCATTTTGCTATATTAATGTTTGATTGAGGGCAAAGATATAACTTTCTAAATTAAGAAAGCATGTACTTGATTAGTGAGAAACCATCTTGTTCAAACTGGCCTTTAGAAAAAATGTAGTTAGACTGGGTTTTAAATTGAGAAGGTTATTTAGGAGTCCTATACTTCCTGGTTTTGTAAAATATTCAATCTATCTGAAACTTTTATGCTGTTAAATTTCTGGATTCCATTTTTTTTTGAGTACTATTCTTTTTGCCAAGAATAATTTACCGTCTCTTTGTCCCCCATGTAAGTGCTGATTTTTAATTAATGGAATTCAATGATGAACTTCTTATCTTGAAAGCACTTTGTTGTGATTTTGCTAGCCAGTAGAATTTCTGTTGCAAATAGCATATTTTGTTTACAGATATTTGGACAAGAAAGTAGTGGCAAGACCACTCTGGCACTCCATGCAATTGCAGAAGTTCAGGTTCTTCTTCTTCTTTTTCTGATTTTTTTAATTCCCATTTTTTAGTTTTTGGCATGTTGCAGGATGGTTCTATAAATACTTATGTCTGCTAAGGACCAAGATAAAATTTTTTGATGCTAAATGTGCAGAAGCTTGGTGGCAATGCAATGCTTGTTGATGCAGAGCATGCTTTTGATCCAGCTTATTCGAAAGCATTAGGAGTGGACGTAGAAAATTTGATTGTCTGCCAACCTGATAATGGTGAAATGGCGCTAGAAAGTAATATGCTGTTCTTGATTATGACATTATTTCTTTTATACTTCATTGAAAATTGGCTTGAGTGCAGGTTAAGTTTGATGCTTATACAATTGGAATAAATGACATTTATATGAGGTCTAATTTCATTCCCATATTTCAGTTGCAGATCGTATGTGCAGGTCCGGTGCTGTAGATCTTATCTGTGTTGATTCTGTATCAGCTCTTACTCCGCGGGCAGAGATTGAAGTGTGCCATCATCTTTACAGTTGCAATAGCTTTGTATTACAGGCAACCTTGAACTGTACCCATGTTTAACTGATTTCTATCTTTTTCACCATAGGGTGAGATTGGGATGCAGCAAATGGGTTTGCAAGCACGTCTTATGAGCCAAGCACTGCGTAAAATGTCAGGAAATGCTTCAAAAGCTGGTTGTACTCTCATTTTCCTTAATCAAATAAGATATAAGGTACCATTGATTAATTATGTTCAGTATTCTAATAGGTAGAGTATATGGGAGTGAAGAATATAATTCACAATTGCAACAAATCCTTCTCTTTTTGCATTTTTAAGTTCTGTAAATCAATATATTTAGTTTTTTCTTCCCATAACTTTATTCTTGTGGATTTGTTAGATTGGTGTATATTATGGGAATCCAGAAGTGACAAGTGGAGGAATTGCTCTAAAATTCTTTGCCTCAGTTCGTCTTGAAATACGTTCTACTGGGAAGATAAAGTCTGTAAGTAAAATGACTGCTTGATATGAATAAAGAACCACTGAAGCTCATATGTATGTATTTTATATGTTTTAGGACAATGATAACCTATACTTTTTTTGCTGTGCTGTCTATTTTTCCAATTTAGTGATTTCTTACAATAGTAGTGTTTTATATCATTGTAGGTCAAAGGAGATGAAGATGTAGGGCTTCGAGTTCGTGTAAGAGTGCAGAAAAGTAAGGTACGTCAACCTTTTTAAACTATACTTCATATGTAAGAATTACTTATAGATGATAATGAAATTCTACACCTTTTTTAATCATTTATATTATTTTTTCTTGAACTGCTTTACCTTGAGCTTTGCCTGTATTTAAGGAAACTGGGAAGACGAAATGGAATGAGGTTCACCACATCGCGCTTCTTCCATTCTTGTCACCCTTTCACTTGGATAGGTGTTTGCATTATAGTAGTGTCTTTTACTCAAGTCAGGTTGTGGCAGATTTCTAAAACTTAACATTAGGTGTTAATTAATAACATATATCAAAATACTACCAACTCTCATCTTTTATAGTTTTATCCTTTACGTTTGATGTTTTGATATCTTTTTTTCCTTTTGTTGATGTTGCTAGTAAATGGATCAAATCATTATTCTGATTAAAAGTTGTGATAGGTTTCAAGGCCATACAAGCAAGCCGAGTTTGAAATTATATTTGGGGAGGGAGTGAGTCAGCTGGTTAGTATTGCAATATGATAATGGTCATTTCTTCTCATGGTGCAAACTGCTGTATCTGATTTAACTTTGATTGTTATGCAGGGTTGTGTTCTGGATTGTGCTGAAATGATGGACGTTGTGGTAAAGAAGGGTTCTTGGTATAGCTATGGGGACCAAAGGTTGGCCTTTGGACTTCTATAATGTTTCTTGATGTTGATTTTAGCTTTAGTCTGTTTCTTTTTTTTATCATCTATTTTTCTGTACTTTTTGGGGGCTAAATATCTAGAACAGGTTATATGGATTAAATGATTCTAAGCATATGTTCTTTGCAACACTCAAATTAAACTTATCCTTTTGTTGTGGCTTCTTCTTATTGTTCTTTTCCTTCAGCTTTTCCTTTCTCTTAGTTTTTCATTCCTCTCCAGAGGTTAGCAAACTAGAGCTTTTCTTGTTTATTATTTGGCAGATTTTCCATCAAATCTCAAAATTATAAAAATTCCTTAGATTAAATATTGCAGAATACTAGATCAGCAACTGACTAGTTTTAAAGTAAATAGAAATATAAGAATCTTTAGGGACTCAACGTCTAATAAAATCCTATATTAAAATCTGGACCATAATTCCAGCTTTTTGAGACCTTAATCTTCTTTTTCCTAGAGGTTCTTGTTTGCATTTGGTGTTCCTCCATAACTTGACCTTCATTTTGACTCTTGAGTTTTGTCTACTAAAACTGTGTCATCTGCAAGTGTATACATTAAAGGATAACTTTTTGGTTAAGTTTTGTCGGCTAATCCTATCCTCTCTTCTCTTCCCACTCCATTGTTGCTCTTTAAAGTCTTTCGTGTCTCACCTTGTTGGTGTTCTGCCAGATCTTTTTTGAAACAGCAAAAACTTTTTCCTTATGAAAGGGTCTCGTTCTGCCATATGGGTTTTCCTCAAGGTATAAAAGGTCTATCTGGTTGGGAAATTGTACTTACACTATCATTTATATTTTTCTTTTCTCACTATGCAGTTACTTCTTCAGTATATTTCAGTCATTGGTTGTGGTTATTTGCATTATGTAGTTTAGTTTCGTCGACCTCTAAAGTTAATGGTCTCTTTGTTAACAATGTGACTTTTGGCCTCATGATTTTACAAGTTATGAACATATAATGGTTCAGAACATATGCAGCCTCAGAATCAAGTAAAATCAAGTTAAAATATTGTTTTTACTACTGATATCAATAAGATTTTATGAGTTTTTAGAGGATAAAGTTTTATGAGTTTTTGAATTAATATATTTATATTTTTATATGTTTGTATTTCAAAATATTCTTCTTTTCTTGTATATGAAACTTATTACTGTTTATTTACTTTTATACCATTTTGTGTTTAAGTTTTATATATTAAATCAATCTTATAATTGAATAATTTTAGTAATTGTTATTTGTGTTTTCATATAGATATAAATGTGTGATATGTTCATTTTCAATGTATTATGGCTTCTTTATAATTTATGGAGTTTCAAATTTGAAATTAAGCTTTGAGTTATGAAGTTTGAACAACTATAACTTATCCAATTATGATGTCATTTAAATTATAGTCACAAAAGTATCATAGTGAAGGGAATATTATGTTGAAAAATAATCTTGTCTCATTATTGTATTGAAAAGCTTATTTACACAAAAATTATATTAATTTTTAGTAGTTTATATAGTTTGTAAAAATCTTGTGATTTTTCATTTGGGTTTATGGAGTCATCTATGGTTCTTGGTTAGAAATGCAAGTTTGACAAGAGATAAAGTTCCCTTTTATTTGCAAATTGTATAATACTTCTAGATCTATTTCGTGACTATTCTCCTTAAGAATTGGTGTCTTCTGCTTAATGTTTGTTGATCAAAAGTTTGATTATATCAATTCGATGTCGGAGTGGTAGAACATGGCTCCTTAGGAGTTTTTAGATAGGCAAGTCAATGATTTATAATCTAGAATAAACTGGAGCTGCTAGGTTTGGGGGCATTCCTGGATAGCTAAATTAAATGATCAACTTGATGGACTTAAAAACTGAGGAAATGGAAAAGATAAATGTTTTTGTTGTTTTTTCCCTGACCAGATCGATGCATTGCCTTGAAGTTCTGATTATAGCTAATTACTTAGACCCTAGAACTATATGTAGTGCTTTAGCATAATGGAGAACAGCCCATTCTCTCTCATGAAGTATAAGGTGCTTGCTTTCAGATTTTCTTCTAGTTTAGTGTTTTGGTTAAAATATCTATTTTTTTCTGGGAAGTAGTACGTTTAATAGCTCTCTGCTGCTGTGGACTTTTAAATATTGTGGCTCATTACTGTTTCTTCATTTGTGTTTTGAGAAGATTGGGACAAGGAAGAGACAGAGCATTACAGTACTTGAGAGACAATCCCCATCTTCATGAAGAAATAGAAAAGGTTGGTTGCTAAGCACTTGAATGCATTATTGCTTAAGTGTCCGAGTTCTGGTACTATGCTGTCTTCAATTGAAGAATTGAATATTTAATTTATGAATGTTCTGTTTATGATAACCTGAAAGCCGAAAAATATATCGAATTCTCTCCCGTACAACTAGAGAAGATTTATGGTATAGAACTTTTTTATTTGCATTTGCAGATAGTCCGGTCTATGATGGCAGATGGAACAGTAAATACCAGCTCTTTTTATTCAAGGAACTCACCATTGCCTCGTCAAGATGAAAATGCTTACGAGGAGATCTAATTTTGGCCTAAGAGTTCACAGGCAGGTACAGTTGACATGTTTTCCTTCACGGTCAAGTACTATGCACAAGCAGTTTTGATGTATCTTGGTCCACCCAATTCCAAGGGTTATATTTATGGATTTTTTTTTTTTTTTTTTAAATTCCTAGAGGTTAATATTGTTACTCGTAAGAATGGCACCAGAGTAAAAAGAAAGGAAAAAACTCTATTCTTGCATCCATTTGTCAAAGATGTTTTACTTACATAAAACAGTTTTATGTTTTTTGAAAAAACAGTTTTTAGAAAATGAAAAATAGAATATAAAAACAAGTTCACTAGTTAATAATAAAAAAAATTCATATTTCAATTTGAAAAAAATAACTTAAAAAAGCATTATTCATGAAAGAAATAAAATATCATAAACAAACTTAGAAATATTTTTTTGATTATATATTATTGATTTTTTTTTGAAAATTTAACAATTCATTAACAATAAATATAAGTTGAGTACATCATGATATTTCTATAGGAATAAGAAATACAAATATAAAAAATTGAAATTTCTGTTTGGAGATGTTTTTTTGATCTTGACAGAAAAAATTAAATTTTTGTGTAAAAATTGGTCCATTTTCAAACAAAACTACAAGAGAAATCTTCCACAATATTGTCGATTTCCACATAAGAATTTAATATACTAAATTTTAATGGAGAAACATGTTGCACTACCAGACTCCATTGGTAAAAGAAACTTGCCTGAACTTGAAAGTCTGAAGTCTTTAATCATAAGCAACTAACAATCGATCTTGTATTTCGAATTGTTAGAGAAATAAAAGATCCATATAAAAGCTCCTCAATAACGAGGAACAACAACATGAAAGCAGAAAAATTAATAACACTAAGCGGGTACTAAAAATACTCTAGATTTATCCATTATTATAGATTTGAGAGACTAAATTTAAAATTTATTCCAAACGATATAAGTTTAAAATTTATTAAAAAGAAAACAAAATAGAAAAAAAAAAAAAGATAGAAAAGGACAAAAAGAATCCATTATTATAGATTTGAGAGACTAAATTCAAAATTTATTCCAAACGATATAAGTTTAAAATTTATTAGAAAGAAAACAAAATAGAAAAAAAAAAGATAGAAAACGATAAAAAGAAACCATCATCGACTTGGTCGACGACGGTGGTTTAGAAAAAAAATATAAAAGAACACAAAAGAAAGAGACAACTAAGGTTTTAAATGTTATGCTCCGAATATATATAATAATACCTATTTTTATCATTTAGTAATTTTTTTTTAAAAGGTAGGAAATTCATTACTACAAATCTACAAGCAAAGCATCAAGAATAAAAGATGGAGGGATATGAACCCACTCCATAAGATCAGGCACAGAAGAGCAACGCCATTCGCTGAGCTCTTCACAAAGTAGATAGAACTATTCACAAGTTCATTAAGAAAACATTTGCAATTAATACGACTTATCATACGAGTTGTGCTGCATAGCGTGAACAAGAATTTGAGAATCAGATTCGAACACAACCTTTTGAAGAACTTTCCGTTTTACCCAACTTAGTTCCCCTCTAAAAGAGAGAGCTTCTGCAAGCTGTGGGGAATGAGCTCTAGGGAACAGTTTTTGGCATGCAAACTACCTAACACCCCTATCATTTTTGACCATCCAGCCAGCGTCCATCTGATTCGAATTGGGGCGCAATGATGCGTCGATGTTACACTTTAGATAACTTGTAGATGGCATAGACCAAATAACAACACCTTGAGGGCCACTAACAGGTTGGGAAACGCAGTGAAGCTGTGCCTGCTGCCATGAAAAAAACCAAGTCGAAGAAGCATTAATCTGCTGTAATTCTCTTCTACAGCACTGAGTTTCTATTCTGCCATATCACCCACAAAAGCAAACAGAATAACTGAATATCAGGAAGTATTAATACTCTAAAAACATTCAAAGGCCATTCATTCATAGATATTCCTTCATGCAGATCAACGACATCAACTACACTCTCCAAGGAACGAGTCCAACACTCTAGAGCAAAACTGCAGTTCACAAAAACATGCAACAATGATTCTGTTATGCCACCATAAACCAGACACAAGTTGGAAATCTCCAAACCTTTAGAAATCAAACGATCACATACCGGGAGACAATTAATTTCAATCCGCCAAATCAAGTTCTTGATCTTTGGAGGGATTTTCAGGTTCCATAGTTGGTGCCAAAAGAACCGCATATCATCGGGGATGGCTGTGAGAGCACCAACCGTTAGAACCTTATAAGCACTTCACATCAAGAAGATCCCATTCTACTCTAACCATATCCAATCATCCTCACTTGTTCCAGAACTCAAAGGGATAGACAAAATGCAATCCATATCCTTTTGTTCAAACAATGAACTAACCACATCCCTCCTCCAACTATTCTCAGAATCAAAAATTGAGAATACATAAGATAATCACAATCTGCAGGCATTTGAGTGATAACCTTCAGATTATGAGGATCTAAGAGCCACAGATCATGCCAGATAGAAACAGAATCTCCACAGCCAATCTTCTTTACCGCCCTCGATTTGATCAAAGAGAGAGCTGCCTGGATACTACTTCAACACTACTTGAATTAGAACCCAACTTCGATTCGAATAGGGAGCAAAATGGGCAATATCGAGCTTTGAATAATCTGGAAACCAGTGAATCCGGAAATGTTAAAAGCTTCCAAATTTGCTTTCCAAGTAAAGCGATATTGAATTGACGCAAACAATAAAAATTAAGTCCCCCCCTAAAGCTTTGTACAATCAACAGCTCCCATCTCCTCCATATGATCCCTTGATTCTCGACCTGACCATTACCCCAAAAAAATCTGTTGAGCATTCTTTCAATTTCAGTACAAACAGTAGGTGACAACATAAAACACTCCCATTACATAAGTGGGTCTAGCTTGGAGGACTAATTTGATAAGAACTTCTTTTCCGGCATGGGATAAAAATAATTTTTCCAACTTGTGATTTTTCGCCATATTTTATCCTTCACAAAAGAGAACACCTCTTTTTTGTTTCGGCCAATCATAGATGGCAGTCCTAGGTAAATATTCTGCACAAAGAATGAACAGATAAGGGGAGAGTGGGCAACCTTGCCTCAAGCCTCTAGCTGGGGAAATAGGCCTCAGTTTATCTCCATCCTGCAAAACTGAACATGAAACAGATGAAACACATGTTATAATCAATACAACCAACTGAGAACAAAAACTCATTTGCTCCAACATCCCTTTAAGAAATTACCATTTGATATGGTCATAGGCTTTACTCATCAATTTTCATAGCTGCAATTCTTATAGACCCTTGTGTTTTCTTTTTTAAATGGTGAATCACTTCGTGTGCAATTAGAATATTGTCTGAGATTAATCTTCCTAGAAAAGAAGGCACTCTGAGCACAAGAGATAAGACTCGACAACACCCCTTTCAACCTGTTAGCCATTACTTCGGAGATAATCTTGAACAGCGCATTATACAAGTAAGATTTTTCTTTTCTGGAACGAGAACAATATATGTCTGGTTTAGAGCAGAAGGAAAAAAGTCGCTATTCAAAAATCCCAAACAAGCTGTAGTAACATTAGTCCCAATAATTGACCAAAACTTTTGGAAAAATGTAGGATTCATTCCAGTGGGCCCTAGGTATTTGTCAGAGTGCATGGAAAAAATTGCCTCCACCTTGTCTCTAGTATAATCACGTGAGAGGTGTCTTGGTTTTGATCAGAGGATACAACAACATCAACACAATCTAAACCGGCCCTCCATTACTACCCGAAGACTAGGACAGATGGTTAAAATAATCCGAAAGCACCTCCTCCGTACTTAAATCGCAGAAGCAAAATTTTCCTTTTCTAGACGATGCCTAGGAATGGAAAAGTTTAGCATTCGCATTCCCATTTTTAAGCCATAGTTGTTGAGCCCATTGTTTCCAGTAAACTTCCATAGCCTCCAAGCAATGATCAAATCCCTATTCGTCTCTTTCAGTTGTGCAATAGACAAAGCATCAAGCTTAGAGCAGAGCCCAGAAATTTTTTGCTTCAAACGTGCAAGTTGTATACGTCGTTCCTTAAGAAAACCTCCATCCCAGGTGGCAAGAGCAGCCCCACAAACTGAAATCCTTTCCAACAAGGATTTGAACAATTCGAGTTCCAACATTTTTTCACAACTGGATGACATTCAACCTCCTTAAGCCAAATATTTTCAAACTTGAACCGACTGTGACTAGAAGATCGAATTACAGGATGGTGCAGGAGAATCGGATAGTGGTTTGATGCTATGGCTACTACATTGCACACACTCCGTCCCCGAATCTGATCCAATCATTTAAGAGATACAAGGACCCTATCCAGCCTCTCTTCGACCCAATTTTTTGTACCTCTCCATCTTTCCCGAGTGAACGGGTTCCCTGTCATTCCAATATCCACAAAATTTCAATCATTCATTGCCGCTCGAAAACCATCAATCAACCATTAAAGCTGAATGTGGCGTCCCCTTTTCTCATTAGAGCTTAGGACATCATTGAAATTGCCTGCTACACACCAAGGAAGGTCTGAAGAATTTGTAGGGACCGAAGAAGGTTCTAAGATTCCCTCTGTTGTCCTCTTTCAGTCTCCCATAAAAGCCGGTTAGTCGCCAAGTCACCTGATTAGGAGATTTAACAATGATGTTGATATGATATTGTGAAAAGCTGAGTAACTGAGCCAAGTCTTTACTTTTCCAGAAAAGATCCAAGTCCTTGCTTAGCTCGACACTGTCTACAGCAAAACAACTGGTATAATCCAGAGCCCTCCTAACACCTTCAACCCGAGCCCTATTGATCTTCGTTTCAATTAAAAAACACAACTGGGCTTATGGTTACAAGTTAGGTCTTTTAAGACTCGAACTATTCGTGGGTTGCCTTGACTAAGATATTTCCTAGAAAGGCAAATCATTGGGCTCGGTGGGCTTGAGTCTCAGGTCCTACCCAAAAATTAGCTGAAGCCACCAACACAAGGGACTTGCCATCAACCATTGGACTTTTAACTCCCAGGACCCCCCCTATCAAAATGACTTCTCTTAGCGTCATTAATGGCCAAATTATCTAAATCAAGGCCCAGGCCAATTATGTTTGAGTGCCCTTTGAAAACATGCTCCTTGTCTTTTGTTAAACACAACATTATGGAGGTAGTTGTAACCACCTTCCCACGATCCCTTTCTAGG